CCATCACCCCATCGGCCCATCACCCCATCGGCCCATCACCCCATCGGCCCATCACCCCATCGGCCCATCACCCCATCGGCCCATCACCCCATCGGCCCATCACCCCATCGGCCCATCACCCCATCGGCCCATCACCCCATCGGCCCATCACCCCATCGGCCCATCACCCCATCGGCCCATCACCCCCATCGGCCCATCACCCCATCGGCCCATCACCCCATCGGCCCATCACCCCATCGGCCCATCACCCCATCGGCCCATCACCCCATCGGCCCATCACCCCATCGGCCCATCACCCCATCGGCCCATCACCCCATCGGCCCATCACCCCATCGGCCCATCACCCCATCGGCCCATCACCCCATCGGCCCATCACCCCATCGGCCCATCACCCCATCGGCCCATCACCCCATCGGCCCATCACCCCATCGGCCCATCACCCCATCGGCCCATCACCCCATCGGCCCATCACCCCATCGGCCCATCACCCCATCGGCCCATCACCCCATCGGCCCATCACCCATCGGCCCATCACCCCATCGGCCCATCACCCCATCGGCCCATCACCCCATCGGCCCATCACCCCATCGGCCCATCACCCCATCGGCCCATCACCCCATCGGCCCATCACCCCATCGGCCCATCACCCCATCGGCCCATCACCCCATCGGCCCATCACCCCATCGGCCCATCACCCCATCGGCCCATCACCCCATCGGCCCATCACCCATCGGCCCATCACCCCATCGGCCCATCACCCCATCGGCCCATCACCCCATCGGCCCATCACCCCATCGGCCCATCACCCCATCGGCCCATCACCCCATCGGCCCATCACCCCATCGGCCCATCACCCCATCGGCCCATCACCCCATCGGCCCATCACCCCATCGGCCCATCACCCCATCGGCCCATCACCCCATCGGCCCATCACCCCATCGGCCCATCACCCCATCGGCCCATCACCCCATCGGCCCATCACCCCATCGGCCCATCACCCATCGGCCCATCACCCCATCGGCCCATCACCCCATCGGCCCATCACCCCATCGGCCCATCACCCCATCGGCCCATCACCCCATCGGCCCATCACCCCATCGGCCCATCACCCCATCGGCCCATCACCCCATCGGCCCATCACCCCATCGGCCCATCACCCCATCGGCCCATCACCCCATCGGCCATCACCCCATCGGCCCATCACCCCATCGGCCCATCACCCCATCGGCCCATCACCCCATCGGCCCATCACCCCATCGGCCCATCACCCCATCGGCCCATCACCCCATCGGCCCATCACCCCATCGGCCCATCACCCCATCGGCCCATCACCCCATCGGCCCATCACCCCATCGGCCCATCACCCCATCGGCCCATCACCCCATCGGCCCATCACCCCATCGGCCCATCACCCCATCGGCCCATCACCCCATCGGCCCATCACCCCATCGGCCCATCACCCCATCGGCCCATCACCCCATCGGCCCATCACCCCATCGGCCCATCACCCCATCGGCCCATCACCCCATCGGCCCATCACCCCATCGGCCCATCACCCCATCGGCCCATCACCCCATCGGCCCATCACCCCATCGGCCCATCACCCCATCGGCCCATCACCCCATCGGCCCATCACCCCATCGGCCCATCACCCCATCGGCCCATCACCCCATCGGCCCATCACCCCATCGGCCCATCACCCCATCGGCCCATCACCCCATCGGCCCATCACCCCATCGGCCCATCACCCCATCGGCCCATCACCCCATCGGCCCATCACCCCATCGGCCCATCACCCCATCGGCCCATCACCCCATCGGCCCATCACCCCATCGGCCCATCACCCCATCGGCCCATCACCCCATCGGCCCATCACCCCATCGGCCCATCACCCCATCGGCCCATCACCCCATCGGCCCATCACCCCATCGGCCCATCACCCCATCGGCCCATCACCCCATCGGCCCATCACCCCATCGGCCCATCACCCCATCGGCCCATCACCCCATCGGCCCATCACCCCATCGGCCCATCACCCCATCGGCCCATCACCCCATCGGCCCATCACCCCATCGGCCCATCACCCCATCGGCCCATCACCCCATCGGCCCATCACCCATCGGCCCATCACCCATCGGCCATCACCCCATCGGCCCATCACCCCATCGGCCCATCACCCCATCGGTCGGCCCATCACCCCATCGGCCCATCACCCCATCGGGCCCATCACCCCATCGGCCCATCACCCCATCGGCCCATCACCCCATCGGCCCATCACCCCATCGGCCCATCACCCCATCGGCCCATCACCCCATCGGCCCATCACCCATCGGCCCATCACCCCATCGGCCCATCACCCCATCGGCCATCACCCCATCGGCCCATCACCCCATCGGCCCATCACCCATCGGCCCATCACCCCATCGGCCCATCACCCCATCGGCCCATCACCCCATCGGCCATCACCCCATCGGCCCATCACCCCATCGGCCCATCACCCCATCGGCCCATCACCCCATCGGCCCATCACCCCATCGGCCCATCACCCCATCGGCCCATCGGCCCATCACCCCATCGGCCCATCACCCCATCGGCCCATCACCCCATCGGCCCATCACCCCATCGGCCCATCACCCCCATCGGCCCATCACCCCATCGGCCCATCACCCCATCGGCCCATCACCCCATCGGCCCATCACCCCATCGGCCCATCACCCCATCGGCCCATCACCCCATCGGCCCATCACCCCATCGGCCCATCACCCCATCGGCCCATCACCCCATCGGCCCATCCACCCCCATCGGCCCATCAACCCCATCGGCCCATCACCCCATCGGCCCATCACCCCATCGGCCCATCACCCCATCGGCCCATCACCCCATCGGCCCATCACCCCATCGGCCCATCACCCCATCGGCCCATCACCCCATCGGCCCATCACCCCATCGGCCCATCACCCCCATCGGCCCATCACCCCATCGGCCCATCACCCCATCGGCCCATCACCCCATCGGCCCATCACCCCATCGGCCCATCACCCCATCGGCCCATCACCCCATCGGCCCATCACCCCATCGGCCCATCACCCCATCGGCCCATCACCCCATCGGCCCATCACCCCATCGGCCCACTCCACCCCATCGGCCCATCACCCATCGGCCCATCACCCCATCGGCCCATCACCCCATCGGCCCATCACCCCCATCGGCCCATCACCCCATCGGCCCATCACCCCATCGGCCATCACCCCATCGGCCCATCACCCCATCGGCCCATCACCCCATCGGCCCATCACCCCATCGGCCCATCACCCATCGCCAATCACCCCATCGGCCCATCACCCCATCGGCCCATCACCCCATCGGCCCATCACCCCCATCGGCCCATCACCCCATCGGCCCATCACCCCATCGGCCCATTCACCCCATCGGCCCATCACCCATCGGCCCATCACCCCATCGGCCCATCACCCCATCGCCCATCACCCCATCGGCCCATCACCCCAATCGGCCCATCACCCCATCGGCCCATCACCCCATCGGCCCATCACCCCATCGGCCCATCACCCCATCGGCCCATCACCCCATCGGCCCATCACCCCATCGGCCCATCACCCCATCGGCCCATCACCCCATCGGCCCATCACCCATCGGCCCATCACCCCATCGGCCCATCACCCCATCGGCCCATCACCCCATCGGCCCATCACCCCATCGGCCCATCAACCCCATCGGCCCATCACCCATCGGCCCATCACCCCATCGGCCCATCACCCCATCGGCCCATCACCCCATCGGCCCATCACCCATCGGCCCATCACCCCATCGGCCCATCACCCCATCGGCCCATCACCCCATCGGCCCATCACCCATCGGCCCAATCACCCCATCGGCCCATCACCCATCGGCCATCACCCCATCGGCCCATCACCCCATCGGCCCATCACCCCATCGGCCCATCAACCCCATCGGCCCATCACCCCATCGGCCCATCACCCCCATCGGCCCATCACCCCATCGGGCCCATCACCCCATCGGCCCATCACCCCATCGGCCCCATCACCCCATCGGCCCATCACCCCATCGGCCCATCACCCCATCGGCCCATCACCCCATCGGCCATCACCCCATCGGCCCATCACCCCATCGGCCCATCACCCCATCGGCCCATCACCCCATCGGCCCATCACCCCATCGGCCCATCACCCCATCGGCCCATCACCCCATCGGCCCATCACCCCATCGGCCCATCACCCATCGGCCCATCACCCCATCGGCCCATCACCCCATCGGCCCATCACCCCATCGGCCCATCACCCCATCGGCCCATCACCCCATCGGCCCATCACCCCATCGGCCCATCACCCCATCGGCCCATCACCCCATCGGCCCATCACCCCATCGGCCCATCACCCCATCGGCCCATCACCCCATCGGCCCATCACCCCATCGGCCCATCACCCCATCGGCCCATCACCCCATCGGCCCATCACCCCATCGGCCCATCACCCCATCGGCCCATCACCCATCGGCCCATCACCCCATCGGCCCATCACCCCATCGGCCCATCACCCCATCGGCCCATCACCCCCTCGGCCCATCACCCCATCGGCCCATCACCCCATCGGCCCATCACCCCATCGGCCCATCACCCCATCGGCCCATCACCCCATCGGCCCATCACCCCATCGGCCCATCACCCCATCGGCCCATCACCCCATCGGCCCATCACCCCATCGGCCCATCACCCCATCGGCCCATCACCCCATCGGCCCATCACCCCATCGGCCCATCACCCCATCGGCCCATCACCCCATCGGCCCATCACCCCATCGGCCCATCACCCCATCGGCCCATCACCCCATCGGCCCATCACCCCATCGGCCCATCACCCCATCGGCCCATCACCCCATCGGCCCATCACCCCATCGGCCCATCACCCCATCGGCCCATCACCCCATCGGCCCATCACCCCATCGGCCCATCACCCCATCGGCCCATCACCCCATGAGCACATTCCTGACTTGGTCGGCAATGTAGAGGCGGGTCTTGAGCTTGGAGATGGGCTGGCCCCCCCTGTCCAGCAGAATGAGCCGGTACACCTCCCATGTGCGCCCCCCCATCTCATGCCGTGCTATGTCCGCCTGCTCGTGCCAGGGTGGTGACGTGGCAGGGCGGTGACGTGGCACGGGGTGACGTGGCAGGGCGGGAGAAGAGGGGGGGTTGGAAAAGAGGGGTGGTGTGGAGAGGAAGAGGAGAGGGGTATTGGTGATTTCTTGCCAGTTTAAACCCAACACATTACCAGCACACTCCCAGCACATACCCAACACGCCAACAGCAAATTCCTCAACACCCCGGCACCATCAGCCCGACCCCACAACTGCACTCATGCACGATGCTCCACTCCTCTCCAACACCCTCCAATCGCTCTCCCTCCCACTCTCAGATGAACACGGGAGTGCTGGCATCACGAGCTGCTGCCTGCACTTGTTAATCCCTCACCTTTAATATACACCTACCAAAGCCTCCCCATTCACCCCCAAACCAACCCCACCCTGAGTCCAAAACCTAATTGTGAACCCAGAACTTCAGCCCTGGAATTTAAAGCCCAAACCCTGAACTCTAATCCCAAACCTGAACCCTCACCTTGAAGACTTGCACGTTGATCTGCCTGAGAGCGAGAGTCATGTCAAAGAGCACACGCGGCCTGCCCCGCCCACAGCACTCCACCGGCGTCGCCACCAGCAGCTCTGCCTCCGCTGCCTCATCCGCTGACACTGACGCTGCTGCTGAACCTGCTCTTAACGAGGATACAGGTGAAGGGGATAAGAACCCCCCTGCGCCAGACCCTGCCACTCCCCCTGCCGCCCCTGCTGTGCCTGCTGCTGCTGACCCTGCTCTGCCCGCCCTCCCTCCTCCTCCTCCTCCTCCTGCTGCTGCTGCTGCCGGCACTGGGGCAGGTGACATACTCCTCCCCATCCCCACCATCCCCGCAAACCCCATCCCCAACCCCATCCCCATGCCCATCCCCATCCCCATCCCCATCCCCATCCCCATCCCCATCCCCATCCCCATCCCCACTCCCATCCTTCCACCAGCACCACCAGCACCAACGCTCCCTCGGTCCTTCACCTCTCCCCCTTCCACTGATCCCACCACGCTCCCCTTCCCTCCTCGTGTCACCACCACGATGCGCAGCGGCCGCTCAAGCTCTGATGTGAGCCGGGCACAGATGCGCGCCTGCTGCGCTGCCCCCTCCACCTTCCTGCCGCTGCTGTCCACCACAAACATGTCCAGCTGGCACACCCCATCCTCTGTCGTGGCTATGCGCCCGTATGACACCTGCAAGGTGGGAGGGGCAAGGGCCGGGGGAAGGGGAGGGGCAGTGAGAAGAGAAAGAGGGGGAGGAGGGGTGGAGGGGACAGGGCGGTAGAACGGAGCGAGGAAGAAAGGAGCGAGAGGAGGAGTAAAGACGGAAAACAGGGTTTGGTGCCAGGGAATTATACAAATGCAGGCAGCTTTGTTTCCCAGTTCCATGCCTGTGAAAAGTAGCTTTTTGAGTCGTGTCACAAGTCACCTGCAGAGACGTCTCAGAACTGGACTGCAGAGACGTCTCGAAATATAAATTCCCCACCTGCATGTTGAGGTCTCGAAGTGTGCGCAGGCAATCATACACAAGGCCCTTCCGGTCCTTCAGCTGGATCTGCAGCGCACACGGGAGAAAAAGGGTGGTGGTGAGAGAGGGAGCACTGGAAGGAGTGATGCAGTGAGTGAGAGAGGGATTGGCTAGGGAGTGGGAGCGGGCGAGGGAGAGGGAGGGAGAGCGAATGAGAGAGAGTGGGAGAAGGAGAGGAGAAGGCTTTGGGTGTCAAATTTGAGTACAATATTGACGTCAGCAAATGTGTTGCATCCCCACCCAGCCCATCCCATCCCCTCCCCTCCCCTCCCCTCCCCTCCCACCTCCCATCACCACCACCAACCAGGCCTACCTGCAGCATGGAATGAGCAGGAGACATGCCATTGTCCACAGTGACCCGTGCAACAGACGGAGGGGGTTGGGATGGGCCCAGCCCCTCAGAGAACACAGGCGAGAAGGCCAGGTCCGATGAGTCTATCTCCACTCCTGTGCCTGCCGCTGCTGCTGCTGCCAGCCCTGATACTGATGCTGTTGTTGATGACGATGCTGGGGATGGTGAGTTGGATTGAAAGCCCCCTGTGCCTGCTGTCTTTAGTGCTGCTGCTGCTGGTGCTGCTCCTGAGAAACGCGACGGCGGAGCTGCTGCTGCTGATGCTGACGCTCCTGTCACTGCTGCTGATGATGATACCAAGGCCATTTCGAAGGACAGCTGTGATCTCCCCCTCCCTCCAGCCGCACCCACGCCCATGCCCCTGCTCGCGCCTACACCCGCCCCCACCAACCCAGACGCAGCAGCCCTGGCAGCACCACCAGCACCAGCACCAGCACCAGCGGCAGCACCAGCAACACCACCAGCAGCGCCACCAGCGGAACCAGCACCAGCAGCACCGGCAACACCACCAGCGCCACCAGCACCACTCGCGCCCCTGGCACCACCACCACCACCAACAGCACTGGAAACAGAGGTCCCAGGGGGGCTGTTAGGCGGCGTGCTGAACTCAGCAAGAAGGAATTTCTCTACAGCGTACGGCACACACTCGGACACGCCCAGGCTTAGATCCGCTATGTCTGCTGCATCAGGGCCTGTAGTGGGTGAAATGGAGCAAACCACTGCCTCACTCTCGCCCTCCCTGCTACCATCCCTGCTTCCGTCCCTGCCACTACCCAGACCAGCAGCAGCAGCAGCACCGCCACCACGAGAACCCAGACCTGGGGCACCAGCACCACCAGACCCAGCAGCGCCCCCGCTGCTGCCCCCACTCCTCCCACCCTTCCCTCCCACGCCTCCCGCTGCTGCTCCTGCCATCCTATCCCCGCCATACCCTGCTGCACCTCCTCCTGCTGCCCCTGGTCCTGCGCCTGTGGCGCCCGAGGCAGCGGAGGAGCCGAGCAGGCCCTTAGCGCCGCCCCTGCTGTGCCCTGAGAGGGAGAGTGCGTCCCTCACTCGGTCTATGATCTGGTCTGACCGGTGCTTTGCGGGCAGCTCCTTGCTGCCCGGGGGGAAAACAAACGCGAAGATAGGGTGACGCGAGGGGGGGGGGGAGGGGAGGGGGAAGGCAGGGGGATCAGAAAGAGGATGAAAACGAGGCACGCACCCATGCATCCGCCCAGCTGCCCAGCCAGCCAGCCACCCAACTACCTAGCCAGTCAGTCAACCACCCACCCACCAACCCGCCCATGCACCCACCCACCCACCCACCCACCCAGGCGCGCTCACCGGTTGTCAGTGATGAAGAAGAAGTCTATGGCCTGGCCATCGGGGCCGGCACGCACCCACGCACACCCCCAGCTACCCAACCAGCCATGCACCCAGGCACCCAGGCACCCACCCAGACACCCAGGCACCCACCCAGCCAGGCGGCGACGCAGCAAAAGGCGCTCACCGGTTGTCAGTGATGAAGAAGAAGTCGATGGCCTGGCCGTCGGGGCTGGTGGAGACGTTCACACGGTGGATGGTCAGCTCCAACTCCCACAACAGCTGCGTCATGTCTGTGTGCACTCACCATGCATGCATGCGCCATCAATGCAACGTGCATGCACCATCAATGCACCATGCATGCATGCACCATCAATGCACAATCCATGCACCATCAATGCACCATGCATGCATGCATCATCCATGCACCATGCATGCACCACCATGAATGCACCATGCACGCACCATGCATACACCATGCACGCACCACGAATGCAAGTGTGGGGGATAGTGGTGGAGGGAGGGGAGGGGAGGGAAGGGGCGTGGGAGAAAGGGAAGAGGTGTGGTGAGAAGATGGGAGTGATGAGTGGAGTTTGGTGATGAGCAGGGAAAGTGTGGGCGGAGGAACGAGGGGGAGAGAAGGGGTGGGGAGTGGGTGGGTGCAGGGCAGGAGGAATAGAAGGAACGGGGAAGTGTATGGAAGGTGGCATTGACAAGGTTCACAGCAGCAGGTGCAACACCAGCAGTCGCAGCAGCAGCAGCAGCAGCAGCAGCAGCAGCAGCAGCAGCACAGGGAGGGTAGTAATCAAAGTGAGTGGCACTTAACACCTAACACCCAACAGCAAGCAGCACGAGAGCAGCAAGGCGAGAGCAGCAGGGCGAAAGGCACCAGGTGAGAGAGCAGCACTGACCATTCAAAAGCCCGCATCTGTCCGACGCCTGCACCTGCAGCAGGAACACGCGGACCGCCGCCTTATTCACCCCCCCGCCCCCCCCACCAGCTACCGGCGATGCAAGACCCGAGGACGAAGACGAGGAGGAGAAGGGGTTGCGGTAATCAGTAGACGACGTGATTCCATAAGAAGGAAGCCCGTAGGAGTGACCAGCGGAGGAGGAGGATGACGAGGAGGAGGAGGAGGAGGAGGCGGAGGAGTGGGAGGGGCGGGAGAAGAAGACGGGTTCGGCAGAGGGGCAGGCGGCGAGGAGGCGGTGTTTGAGGAGAGACCACTTGATGGGCTTGCCTGTGCGCGTGCGCGGGACCACCCAGAACACCAGGAAGCACCACCGCCCGTCCGTTGACAGGTCTACATGCATGGGTGGGTGGAAAACATTGGAGCGGGAACTTGCAACATTTTAAAGCACCACCCAGAACACCAGGAAGCACCACTGGCCGTCCGTGGCAGATCTACAAGCGAGAGTGGGTGGGTGGGTGGGTGGGGCAGGGAATTCGGGGAGGAAGGAGGAGAGTGTGTGAAAGGGAGAGGAGAGAGGAGGAGGAGGGTAGGCGTGCGGTGGGGAGAAGAGGGATGGAAGAAGGGAGGGATGGGCAAATGACTGAGAAGAGTGGGAGTGAGGAGTGAGATAGGGTATAAAAACGAATAGGCCCGGATCAGTCTTGATGTGGTGGCGTCTGATAATTAATCTCATGCCCTCTGATCGCCTAGAGACGCGTCCGTGCATTACACACACCCGTTCCCCGTTCCCCCACATCACCTCCCACCCCCCTCCCATCCCCACGGATTCACCGCACCATCCCAAACCTCTCCCCACCGCTCCCACAGCCCCACACACCACCGCTCTGCCACCGCGCGGAACCACTCACCACCCTTGACGACGTTGAGCCCGAACTCGAACATGATGCGCGTGAGGTCGCAGCCCAGCCCCACCTTGTCCGGGCAGTTCACCGTTATCTCCGACGCCTCCCGCGGCCCCTGCCCCTTGCGCACCACCACCGTCTCGTCTGATGGTATCGCCACTGGGGTCAGAAGAGGGGGAGGGACGGTGGAAGAGGGAGAGCGGGGGGGAATGGGGGAGAGCGACGGGAGGCGAGGGGAAGGGGGGAAGGAGGGAAACAGGGAGGGAAGTTGGGGAAAGGGGGAGGAGGGGAAAAGAGGGAGAGCGAGGGGAAGGGGAGGAGAAAGGAGGAAAAAGGGGAGAGCGGGGTTAAGGGAAGAAGCAGGGGGACGGACGGGGACACCAGCGGAGAAAGGAGGAGAGGCGAGGATAGTTTTGAGGAATGAAGCTGCAAGGAAGGATGATAAGATGAATGCAGAGAAAGAGGTAAGCGGAGGCGGAGCGGAAGGGAAAGCGAATACGACCACGAGATTCTTGTGCAGAAGCACCAGCAGCAGGCTGCTAGCACTTGTTGAGGAGCGCGTAAAGAAATGGGTGGGTCGACGTTGGAGTTTTTTCATTTGTGAGCAGCTACTGTTTCATCGAGGTGGGTGAGATGCGGTGAAATGCGGTGAAATGCGGCGAGATGCATTGGGATGTGGCAGGGGTATCAGGTGCGAGCGACAGGCGCCACTCACTGCTCGACGGCGAGGCGAATGGGCGAAGCAAGTCACTGGGAAGTCGAGTCCACAAACAGACCAAGTCCGCGACGACCACACAATCGGGACGTCGAGACGAACGGGAAAACACGCGCTGACGGAGAAGAGAAGCTGGCGACAAGGTGATCCGGCAACTCGAAGAAATTTAGGGACTCAGTTTCAAATGCAGATCCGAGAGATTCAGATGCAGGTTCAGGTTCCAGCGGTGTAAATGTAGATGGTGGATTCCGAGAGGCGGAACCTGAGCTACTTAACGCGCGTCGGTCCGAAAGAGAGAAACGATACTGGACGAGAGATCTGAAGTGAGAATATACTGGTCCGCAGAAAGCGGCGAGTAGAATCGGTGGAAGGAGATTCCTGAATGAACAAAAATGGAGCAGACAACAGACACTATCGGCGACGAGGAGCGTAAGCGGTTTATCGAAGACAGGTCGCCATGACTCTGCCTCACAGGATGAAGCGACACTGCACGCGGTTGATGGGTCAGCTGAGCATGTGACTGTCAGTTAGAGGTGAATCGGGACAGCGTTTTATAGCATGGTGGCAGATGGCGAGTCGATTCTCAGAGCAGAGAAAGAGTGAGTGGAGGAGGAGGAGGCGGACGAGGCGGCGAGCAGGAGAGCGTAGTTAGAGCCAGCAGCGGAATGGAAGGCTTCTCCTGGGTCCCTCAACTGCATGCTGCTGCTGTTACACCGTGAGGCGGCGACGGAGGGGTGGAAAGTGGCTGGGAGCGAGCCACGAGGGAACGCGTCGCGACTGCTCGACCTTCCGTGAGAACCCACGAGCGACGACGACGATGACGGCGGCGACGACGGCGGCGGCGAAGACGACGACGACGACGACGACGGCGACGTACAGCGGCAATCCAGCGCGGCACCCCCGCGCTCGTTCCACATATCACAAGCCGCTTCTGTGAAGAGCTTTCCCCCGAAAAAGTATGCGGACTGTGTCTACACTACGAGGAATGGCAGAAGCTCGGTAGTACGGTTTATGGGCTCAGGAGCTAAGAGAATAAGGGAATCAGAGAAGCACTGAGCTGCATATCTCGAGTTTGCAAAAGTCTCTTGCTTTACTTCCACAGTGCTGGAAGCGGATGACAAACCTGATAGGTGCCACAGCCAGTGCGGCAAGAAGGGAATCAAAAGCTGGTACAGTATGTGAAAGTGGCTGTTGGCTGACAGGCTCGTTCGTGCTCCATGGGAATCTCGAGATACCAAACCAGACTGGAGTCTTCTCTTGCCAGCGACGAGAGCAAAAGGCATCCTTCAATTGTCGGTGCCTTTTTCTATGGCCGTCAACTTGACGCTCTACCGTTTAAAGCTGCAGTATACATTTGAAATGTTGGGTTCAAAAACTTTTGAAATTTGAAAAGTTGCCCCAAAGCTGTGAGGCACACAATAAAAACCCTAAACCCGGCTGACAAATGTATACTGCAGCTTTAAGACAGCACTTGAGGCTATTCCAGCCCAACTCTGACGGTCGTCACGGGTTTACCTCAAGCTTCCCACCAATTCTGACACGCAGGCGAATGGCGAGTGTCGGGATTCACGGGGTTCTGTGCTGACATCCTGACAGGTTGAAGCCCGCAGGGCAGGTTTGCCATATGATTAAAACAATGCGTTGCGTTGTAGTTTGTAGAAGCAAATAACAGAAACATCTAGTTATTATGAATGGGAAATGTGGTAAAGAAATGCTTTCGTACTTCTCATCCATCTAACCTCGAATTCTTTGCTGTATTGCTTGTTTTCCACGGAAGGTCACCCTTTTGCTCCGTGTGGCACAAGATTCTCCGACGGCGGCCACTCGCAACTCCCAAGCTGACGTCGTCAGTGAGCGAACGGCATCTAGGCTCGTCTTGGTCTTCGGTACAAGTCCTCCACGATCAGAATATAACCCCAAGACTGTTTTTATCGATAAATATCCGAACTGAGAATTTGGCAGAACGAGAAACGGATTCTTTGAAACGGAGACCATGTTTATCCCCTCCAGAAATGCCACTCGAATCCCACATCTCAATATCTCATAGTAACTACACCTATTCAGGATTCAGCACCAGTCTTTTCTCTCCCACTTCGTCCTCCCATCCGGGTCTGGAATCAATCGGCGTAGCAACATAAGTCAACGAGCCACACTCTGTACAGTCTCTCCGCCTGTGTCGCATTCTCGGGGCTGAAGAGGTCATGACAGGGCGGAAAGAGCGAGGCGGCGTGCAGCCCGCAGTGGTGGTCGCGGTAGGCATCGGTATGGTGTGGTGGGCCTGGAATATTCTCACCGGCGCTCCCTCGTGGTCGGGACGGCGCGGGGAAGGCGATGACTCCGCGCGTGTGCCTCCCGTTGATGGCGGAGACGAATATTCCGCCGGTGCTACTGGCGCAAGTGCTGGCGGAGCTGATACTGGGGAAGGCGGGAGTGGTGTGACGGAGCAGGGGAGTTAAGCGGACGAGAAGCGGGGAGCTCGGGAGGAGGTTGCTAGGGAGTGTGAGGGGGGAAGTGCGTGGAGGGGACGGAAGGAAGGGCTGAGAGAGAACGTTGTGGGTACTGGGATGTACTGGGAACGTTGTATGTACCATACCGTACATTGGGAGAAGGCAGAGCTGGGATGTGGTGGAGAGGAGAGATGGTTCATTGAGGTAGTAGGTGTGTGAGATGCGATCGCCATAAGATGAGCTGAGAAGGGTTACGTTCTACCACTAGGTAGCGTCCAGGAGTGTTCATGGCATCATGTGTACATACCTACCAGTGCATCAGGGAGCTGATGCCAGAGATATCTGGAATATGCATCGACTCGCTCAATTCAGTTTGGGAGGGAATCCATGTCTTAGGGCGCGTGTGATTTTTTTTGGGGTTCGTATTTAAGGTCGAACTTTAGGTGGTAACCAGTTTCGCCAATGTTCGCAGGAGATTTCGCCAATGGTGACTACAATTTCAAGAGTACCAGGTGCGAACATACAAATGTGAACAAGATTCGAATATATGCACAAACTTTGTGTAGCACACTGAACCGAACGTGTGTGGTTTCAGGCACGTACGAGGAACCAGCGAAGCTCGCGACTCTTTCGCGCTGTCAATAGAAGAACACCGGGTAACCTACGCACCCTATAGGCGGCTCGGTCCCCCCCCTGTAAGCTCGAACCTGCAAATTCGCACTTTCGTGTGTGATTGTGAATCTACAAGCAAGTTCACCTGCGGTTCGAACATTGCCAATGCTCAAAGTCGAGTCGTGTTCAAATGCTTAAATCGAATAAAAAACATAAACTTATGGCAAAATAAAAAATCACACGCGCCCTTACAAAACTTGGTATGCAAAACGTACCAGTAAGTTGAAAGGTGTAAGGAAAATTCCTTTTTCTTACTTCGCGTCCCTGCTCAGCGCGTACAACACTGACAGCACCCCACAATATCTGTTGGAAACAGTTGATTTAAGCGCTTCTGTCGTGTCGAAACTGTCAAACATATGTGTATATTTGTTATAGTTTGGTTAGGCTTAGTGGGGTACTCACTGTGGGGTACAACCCCTTTGGTTTCTCCTTTGTATCCTTTCCCTCGATAGTCGACACACAACTTTCCCGTAAGATTCTAACATGGTATTAAGAGCTATGACGTTCCTAGCCTAGGACGATTTTTTTTTTTTAGGGCCCACCGTTAAACCTTCCGTGTTCCTGCCCGAATCTCGTTCTCTGCTTTTTTCTGCCCGAAATGCGCCCTTAGGTGCATCGATTTTCGCTGCCCCGCGGCCCTGCCCTGTCCTGTCGCGCGTAGCCAGCGAGCAGCCCGTACAGCCCCCGTCTGGCCTTCGCGCCGCCCGTACAGCCCGCGCCACGCCCGCGCGCGGCCCGTATAGCCTACGTTAGGCCCGCGCGCGGCCCGTACAGTCAGCGCTAGGCGTTAGCACAGCCCGTACAGGCCGAGTCAGGCCCGAGAGCGGCCCGTACAGTCCGCGCTAGGCATTCGCGCAGCCCGTACAGGCCACGTCAGGCCCGCACGCGGCCAGTACAGCCCACGCCAGGCCTACACGCTGCACTGCGCCTGTGTTGCTGCTTCTACTTGCTGCCGCTGCTGCTACTTGCTGCAGCCGCCCCTGGACCCTCGAGCAGCCGCCCCTGTACCCAGAGCAGCCGCCCCTGGCCCCTGCAGCAGCCGCCCCTGGAGCAGCCGCCCCTGGACCCAGAGCAGCCGCCCCTGGCCCCTGCAGCAGCCGCCCCTCGAGCAGCCGCCCCTGGACCCAGAGCAGCCGCCCCTGGCCCCTGAAGCAGCCGCCCCTGGTGCAGCCGCCCCTGGACCCTCGAGCAGCCGCCCCTGGACCCAGAGCAGCCGCCCCTGGCCCCTGCAGCAGCCGCCCCTGGAGCAGCCGCCCCTGGACCCAGAGCAGCCGCCCCTGGCCCCTGCAGCAGCCGCCCCTCGAGCAGCCGCCCCTGGACCCAGAGCAGCCGCCCCTGGCCCCTGCAGCAGCCGCCCCTCGAGCAGCCGCCCCTGGACCCAGAGCAGCCGCCCCTGGCCCCTGAAGCAGCCGCCCCTGGTGCAGCCGCCCCTGGACCCTCGAGCAGCCGCCCCTGGACCCAGAGCAGCCGCCCCTGGCCCCTGCAGCAGCCGCCCCTCGAGCAGCCGCCCCTGGACCCCGAGCAGCCGCCCCTGGCCCCTGCAGCAGCCGCCCCTGGAGCAGCCGCCCCTGGACCCAGAGCAGCCGCCCCTGGCCCCTGCAGCAGCCGCCCCTGGAGCAGCCGCCCCTGGACCCCGAGCAGCCGCCCCTGGCCCCTGAAGCAGCCGCCCCTGGTGCAGCCGCCCCTGGACCCTCGAGCAGCCGCCCCTGGACCCAGAGCAGCCGCCCCTGGCCCCTGAAGCAGCCGCCCCTGGTGCAGCCGCCCCTGGACCCAGAGCAGCCGCCCCTGGTGCAGCCGCCCCTGGATCCCGCGACGCCGCCCCTGGACCCGCGACG